ACCATTTAATTAGCATCAACAATGTTACTCTTTGTCTCATCATGAGAGATTGAGTATACATACTAGTTTTATTGATATTCATCCTGAACATAATCTCAAATTTGATCTTACTTTCTTATTTCCATTTCTTATAGGAATATCTAAGCTTTTATGTTCTTCTTCTTCAAAATCAAAAGAATCTCCATATGCGGAAGCTAATAGCCAAATAACAACTTTATGCGCTTATATTAGGGTGCAGTCATTGAAATATTTATTTTTCCTTCTTAAATCGATGCTACTTTAAAGCTGTGAATAGTTAATTTATACAACCATGATTAGGTAAAAGATTTGATTCGAATAAAATCTTAGAAATTAAGTAAAATTTATTAAAAATTATGAATTCAAACAATATCTAATATCGATTGGACGTCAAAAAAAAAAAAAAAAATCAATCTTAAGATTCATGAATCTAACGTAATATATGTTTGGTAGAATAATTTTAAGAACATTTGTTTCAACAAACTTGTTATATATTTCACCGATATTTTCTAAGAATTGATAGTAACTGTATAACTAATTTAGAAAAATAGTGATAAGTGATACAGATATATTTAGTAAAAATGTGTGAATATTCATCTTAACGAATAAACTGAGATATGATTATATGCTATTATTGTATATGGTTAACTCACGTTTATACCGGTTTGGTTTAATAATGATTTGGTTTAATGATGGTTTGGTAAAGACTATTTTCTTATAGCCTGCGTCATCTTTATTGTAAAACTTTTGTTTCATCTGTATTAGAGGCCATGTGAGATTTTTGATGCGCTTTTTGGTGATTATGACTTACGAAGAATGTAAACTTAGTTCAATTTCAAGTTTTGATTTGTTGATTCAGCATTATGTATAAAGTAGAAGACCTTATTGTTTGGTAATTAATAACTTTTCTAAAACGTACATTAATTATCTATCGAACCAAACTATTGAACCAAAAAATCACTACTAAGGTTTTGATTAACAATTATGGGTTTCAGATAATTAAGTCTTTTATTATTAGCAATAAAGCGAAGCGATTACAAAGAATGGAATTACCGAGAGGTTATGCCGAAGTGAAAAGAAGATTTGCGAGGTAAATTAGAAAGCGTTAAATACTCTGATTTTAGCTCTACTGCTCTCTAAAATGTATGAGTTGTCTTTCCAAAGCTTCGGGATTAATAATTAAACTATAGTCATTTCATTTCACCCTTGATGCTATGAAAAAAAAACACTCAGCGTCCTATAACTTTTTCTATATAATGAAGGGTCTCAAATATCAGTTTACGATCTGATAAAAACATTTTTGATATCTACGAAGAAAACAGACATCCCACAAAACATAGCAAACCCCAAAAGCTATAATTACATATATAATTCACCAAACCTGACAAATGTTTGGTTGACAAATGTTTGGTTTGCTGTACACAGAAAATAACTATACGAGTTCACTTTAGTGGAAGTATATTCGTACAAGGAAGCGGGCAAATGCTATGGAATTTACCTCCACGTGATCGAGACTCTCAAATTCAGTCTCGAAACAAATTTTGTTATGTGAATTTTCTGACATCTAACTAATTAAATTATAGTGACTGCATATTAATGAAAATGCGAATTTGATCATCGTATGTTCAAATTTTCCATCATTTAGCTTAACTATAGTGGCCATGTATTGATGAAAATGCGAACTTGATCATCCCATACGTTCGAACTTCGAAGCCCACACTTATACCGTTATACGTACAGTTATACTATAATGGATCGTATAACTGTATAAATTATAATTATCACAAAAGTGACGACCATGTGGATCATCCTAGCTAATATAAGGATCCATATATTCTATGACGACCATGTGGATGTGAGGAACGTGAAACAAATCGAAAATCAAAAAGAAAAAAAAGTGAGACGAATAAAAGCAACAGAAAAATATATAAGAAAATAGCGTTGCATGGGAATCTAGACGTTGATGCTTTGCTTGAAGATGGAGGTTAGAATAAATGCTTGGGAATTGCGCCTCAAATCTCACTTTTTTATTATGCTAGAAAATTTTCACACTGAAAGTGAAAATGTATATTATGCTCGTTTATTTTTCCAGATTGGTAATTTTTTTCTATTCATATCCGTTCCTGATTTCATCGGATTTGGAATGTTTGGATATATTTAAATATGCAATCCATAACTATTATCTAAAATTTAGGTTTATAGTATATGTCGCAAATAAAAAGACATTAAATATGATTAACATCTTTTTACAAATTTCATGATCATCGTAGAAATACAATATGACAAAATGAGAAATCTACTAACTACGAATTTTTTAGGTCACACGACAAATTTGAAATAAATAAATATACAGAGAAAAGGGAAAATCAATCGGAAGTGGGTTGGTCCGAGTTTTGAACCTGACTAAGACCACATGCTCAAATCTCTCTCAGTCTGTGGGATCCCCACTTTTGTTTCTTTGTCTCTTTCCTCGATTGCTTCAAAGATTCTTCTTCCTTCGCCATATGTCGTCTTTTAATCTACCATGCGCGGGTGATCTCATCTTACTCGCGGAACTATCTTTTTCCATTGGGAAATTATGTTTTATTCCCCTGGCAAGTTATTTGTCATATTGTTCATCCTTAATTAAATAAATTCATACTTTTATATGTAGTTTAAAAGCCAATATTTTCTAGTAGAACATCATAACAAACTAAATTTCGATTCCTACTTGATATATTACAAAAATTTATGTCATATATATTCTTTATAAATGAAAGAATTCTACAATATTACATTCACATTCATTCTATTACAATAACTCAAAAGAGATGTGAAATGGTCATCATTGGTTAGATTAAACTTGGGAGCCACAAAGAGGGTCCGACCAGAATACCCACCAATATTGCCTTTTATATGGACCAATCATTATTTTTGAATCACCTATTTTAGTGGTAGAAAATGACAAACTGGTAACATTTACTTGCCTTGATAATATGCAAAAATTACAGTTAAATTTCAAATTATCACCGACACATTTATTCACCTTAATGTGCAGTTCTGAAAATATACCCTAGATTTAATAATATAACCAAAACCTTTTGTTTATAGTGAAATAAAGACAAACAAAATCAATTATGTGATCATATTACTTGCATTATATAATCTCAATTATTTGATACAAATATTTTTTCGGAGAGAGTGTGTTAAAGTTTCTAGTTTCTACGGTATCATATCCACCCTAGACCCAATACTACCGAGCTAAATTTTTGAGATGCTAAATTGAGTTACACAGAAACCAAGGGTTAAATATATCAAACTATACTAGATCATATATTAGAAAATGAACCGATATATACGTAGGTACATGCATATAATGGCTGTGGAAATCTTATGTATGTGTGTGGATATATATGGTTGATCCATATACATATACATGTCTTTTAGACCAAATCTTGGTCTTCATGTAAGTCCCTTTTTACGAAAATCGATGTTTTGTGTCTCTACTAACTTTAGCTGCTAGGGATATCATGGCCTCATAGGCTACACACTGTCCGGCCAAATATTTGCTTTTGCATGATCATATGTTCCGTTAGAGAGATGTGTTCTTTCAATTAAAATTAAAAATCATAAAATAAAAGTTGAGGATATGGTGTCCTTAGAATATATTATTAAATGTTAGAGTGTTAAAATAGTTTTGTTTAGTGTTTACAATAAAAAAAATATCCGATAAAAACCAAGTAACCAAGTGATGGATGTCTCGGGAAATTTTTTTAGGCTAGTGGTTGATTAACATTTTGTTTTAAGAAAATGAAGCTTCGATTGTGCGCAATATATAGGATATGAAGATAAAATAATAGCTGAACTAATACAATGGCTTAGCAAGTAAAGCTTGAGGCGAGCTCATGGGAAGCAAGTATAATGCATCTAAAATAATATGCATAATACCATCACCAATGCTATGTCGACGTGCGTATAGTTTGTATCATCTCCTTGGTGAACGACGTACTAGATCATTATAGTGGATGTTGATGCAATACGTACAGTCGATGAGAATTAATAATTCAATACGCACATCACAGAAAACTAACTAGATAGAAACTTGCATCTACAATTCTATAACATAAATCCATGGGAGATTTTATACTGTGAACACCATAAATTCAAGAATCATGTTTTAATTTTTTATGATAACTACTATAACAGTGAACACCATAAATCCAAGAATCATGTTTTAAACTTTTAAAAAACCTAAATTAGCATGCAGGAACATTTTCAAATAATAGAAGCAAAAGTTATATATGGATCATGTGCTACAGAGACATGGATATTTGTGAACCAGGACTCGTCTGTCATAGAAACAATGTGGTCCAAAGAAATGATTAATTGCAACGAATTATGGAGTACCATTATACCTTTCTTTCACATAACATTTTGAAGACTAATTATTTAAAAAATAACTGCGACAAACTAAAAAAGTTAACAAAATAGAGAGACGAAAATATACTTACTACTTAGGACCAGCTTGAGAAAATGGGACCCCTACGAGAATAGAAACTTTTGACTAATAGAATGAGAAGATTAGGGTGGGTCCCACGTGGCGACAACAACTCAACGGAAGAATCAAGAAGAATAGCTTGAGGACACACATGGAGATGGGTGCCTGAGAATGTTGCAAACAACTCCAACTCTGAATTTCTCATCCACATCGTACGCCCCTCGGGTCACATATATTTGTCATCATTTGAAACTTATTATTTAGAAACAATCAAATAATATAGTATCAATTGCTTACATAGATAATATAATTATAAAGGTGTTGATGGTCAATTTTTTCATTACAAACCTAAGGATTTTAATAGTTTTTTTCGTAACTAACTTTAGAAAGTTCAAGTGTATATCCAAAAAGCTCACGATTTTTTTTTTCCTGGAGTTTATATTTTTGGACACTTTGATGCTCTGGTTCACATCTCATTCATGCTCCGAGTTGGATCACGTTATATTTTTCATTATACCGTAATAATGTAATGACGTTAAAAATGAAATAATATAATATTGAGGAAGCCACCAATCTCTCTCCTCCCACATTCTTTTCTATATATATAGAGATAGATGCTTGGCTTTTCCTTTATCTTTACTCTCTATCTCTCCTTTTCTCTCTTCTCGCTTTCTCTCAATCACAATCTTCTCTACATATTTCATAGAAGCTTGTGAAATGGATTATTCTTCGATGCACCAGGTACTAATCAAGACCACATTTTCAGTTAATGATGATTTTAGTTACAAAATTACGTATTTATATATTTATATTCTTTCAAAATTTGATTATTATAGAATGTGGTGGGAGTATCTTCATGTTCATCACAAGAATACCAGAACCAGAAGAAACCATCTCCGGCGAGTAGGCCAGCTCCACTGGAGCAATCTCTGAGATGTCCTCGCTGCGACTCCACCAACACAAAGTTCTGTTACTACAACAACTACAGCCTCTCTCAGCCTCGCTACTTCTGCAAATCTTGTCGGAGATATTGGACCAAAGGCGGGATCCTAAGAAACATTCCCATCGGTGGGGCCTACCGGAAGCACAAACGCTCCTCCTCCGCTACTAAAAACCTTAGAACAACCCCTGAACCGCCGATGATGATGACCCACGACGGGAAAACATTCCCGGCGGCGAGTTTCGGCGGGTACAGTAACAGCATTAACAATGAGCAGATGGAGCTTGGGTTAGCATTTGCCTTTCTGAACAAGCAACCTCTAGGGTGTCCTTCTGAATTCGGAAGCTCTCAGTCTCCGATGGGCATGGAGGGTGTGTTTGGGACTACGCAGATGGAGAACGCGGGTTATGCGTTTGGAAATGGTGGAGGCGGTCTGGAGCAGATGGCGACAAGTGATCCAAACAGGGTCTTGTGGGGATTCCCATGGCAGATGAACATGGGAGGAGGAGGAGGAGGAAGTGGTCATGTTGATCAGATTGATTCAGGGAGAGAGGTTTGGAGTAGTACTGTCAAGTACATTAACACTGGTGCTTTATTGTAGTCTGTTTATCAATCATTTTCATTAGCTTCAGATTATTGGATTCTGGATTTCTTGGGTAGAGAAAGGGATACTTATGAAATTAATGGGGAAAGAAAATAGATATATTGTGCTTTCTTGGAATATGAAGTGTGATTTTTCTTTATTTCTGATCGAATTTCTTGAGCTTTTACTTTTTGGTATTTCACTATATGGCTCAACTGAACAATCTTTTTTCAGTTTTCAAATTTTAAAACTTATGTTTTCTATTTAAGAAATTATTAAAAACGAAAGTTACGTAGAAAAATATGATTAATGATGGATGTGGTGATCCTATATGGTATTTCTACAATAGTTTTAGCAATAGATCTATTTCTGACTTGAGATACTGTAACGATATATAGCTCGGATAAGAGAATATAAATACACAATCTTTCTTGGATATATTCATGGCTTCTGATACACAAACGAGAAGATATTGTTATACTATAACTAAGTTGTCTTAGTGGTTCGTTTTTCTCTCTACGTATTCAAAACTTCAAACTATTTTGATTTTTTCTCTTTAAAAATTATAAACCGAAAGAACCGACGTGTGATAAAAAAAAAACAAAAATCAACATGATGTCATCAAGCAAACATTTTATTCGTAGAATAGTGTATTTCAATACAATTTTCCGCCGAGTGAGATCGGAATAAGTAGAAGTAGTTAGTATATAATTTAATTTTTACTCCAATTTATTAAAGTACTGTAAAAAGGTACTTCAAATTAAATAGATATAAAGCATTGAAAATGTGCATTAAAGAAGTTAAACGAGTATAATTAAGCAATTCATGTACCTAACGTTGCATATAAATACATTAAGCGTGTTTTATGCCTAGAAATATACTTCTCGGTTGGTAGTTTGCTACTTTGCTTTACCCACATAAACACATGCTTAAGTATGCTTATTTATATGTTTAACCAGTAATGACTTGATTTCTCTCTGTACTGTTTTTGTTTAATGAAAACTAGATTTTGGATCTGCGCAAATCTTTTTATAAAATATTTTTGGGTCATAGCAAAACTCGGTTTATAGTAAACTTTTGTTCAAACAAAAATTAGCTTATATTATTAAATCTAAAATTATGGCTCAAACAGAAATTTTTTATTAGATTATATAAACTATTTTAACATTATGGTTTTATGTTTTTAAAATTATTTAGGCTTGATTTTATAAAAAAACAAATATTTTGATTAGCGAATTTTTTGTTAAGTTTTGTAACAAATATTTTAAAATATTATGTTTTATAATGCAAGAGAGATTTTATTTGTTTGTAATTAAGATTATTAGGCTTTGTTTGTTTTTACCTCCAGATACTTATTTGGATGCAAATGCTCTCAAATATTGTTCTTTTAAATATTTTTAAATCATTATATGAATATTTTATCTGAGTACAAATTCTATAATATCTCAAAATTTGGATATTTAAAATGTTAAAAAATAAAAATTTGATGCAGCATTTGAATCTTAAAAATTAACAGATAAAAATATCATTTAATTTAAACCACAAAATCAAGTTTTTTTTTACCAAAACTATTTTTTTCTATCAATAAAAAATCGCATTTTTTCGCAAAATCGTAAAATCACGTTGTTGTACCAAAACCGAAAATTCTGGTAGAAACTGTTAAAACAACATTTTCTATTAAACCGTATTTTCCTGCCAAAACTGTAAACCCACATTTTTTAACAAAACCAAAATTATGCTTTCCTCCAACATCATAAAATTGTATTCTATGGCTAAGTTTCTAAAATTAAGTAGTTTTGTCAAACTTGCAAAATTGCATTTTGTCGTCAAACCTGCAAACCTGCATTTTCAATAAAATTCATAAAACCATATTTTTTTATCAAAACCTATAAAATCCGCAAAAACATGTAAACCTCGTAAAATCCGCAAAATCACATTTTCCGCCAAATCCACAAAACCAGTGTTTTTCCATAATTTTAGAAAATCCATAAAATTGTGTGTTTACGACCAAATTTCTAAACTCATGTGTTTCTGCCAAACTCACAAACCCGTATTTTCTCGCTAAAACATGTAAAACCCATAAAATCTGCAAAATTGCGTTATTCGCATTTCACAAACCCTTATTTTCTCATAAACCTGTAAAATCTGCAAAATCGTGATTTACGACCAAATTTCAAAAATTATGTGTTTCTGCTAAATCTACAAAAGCACATTTGTTGTCAAACCGGTATTTTCTCGAAAAACTATATTTTCCGCTAAAATTTATAAAACCTGATAGAATTTATAAAATCCATAAAATCTACAAAATTGTGTTTGTCAAATCCCCCAAACCCATAACTTCCCGCCAAAAAATTATTAACAAACCAGAAAAACTAAATTATTTACATAATGTTTTTTTATAGTATGTATATATGTAACCAAAAAATAATGATTATATATTCATCATTGACTATAAATTTTTACATTTAGTAAATACCATAATAATTTTAAATTTTTTTAATGTAGTGATTTTCTTTTAATAGTATAGAGAAGAAATTAATTATAATATAATATATATTTAATTTATCATATAATATATATAATTATATTAGTTATTCATGCCATATATATGTAGTAGTTATGTTAAGATATTATGAAAGATTTTAAAATAATTTTAAAAGTAAATTAATTTGAATTTTATTAGTATCAGATATGATTTATTGATATTATCTATTAACAAACTAATTTAATTTAATTTAATGTATTTATTAACAATTTAATGATAAGACTAAATTATCTTTAATGAAACTATAGAAATTTAATGGTTGTAAATAACACATTAACTAAATGTTAATTTAAAAATAGTATAATATCTTTGACCAAAAAAGGTATGGATAGACGTGATAAATATCCATTCTGCCATTTTGAAAATACGGGACTAATAATAACATAAAAACTGATTTTAATTTTTGTTGGCTCACTTTTAGTTTTAACTAATAAATCCCTAACTATAGGTATCTAAGTTCAATCGTAAGAAATTTGATACTCCAAACGCAGGTTAACTATAGACTAATATATACACTGGAGATGAAAAACCCATTAAAATACAAGACTAAAATATATAACGTATACTATGCAAAACATTTATGCGTTTGTGGTTATTAGTTTGTGTATGAGAAGTTCTCAATAACTCAGAATTGAATTTTATCTTCAATGAACTAATTCAAACATCGTTTATCTTTACCCCAGCAAATGGACCAAAGTGCGTCCACATATATAGATCTTTGAGTAAAGCAATATTCTCTCGACCCGAAACAAAATGTTAGATTAACCGTATAAATAGCTTTAGGTTCATTTATTCTCCGAAGGTTCTTCTTTTGATGATATTTTAAGACCTTTTCAGTAGATTTGGAATATATCGAATTACGAGGCTAATAAGCCATATCATTGTTTAAGACTTTCAGTCTATATATCGTTTCAATATGTTATATATACTGCCGCCTGTATATTATATATATAATCATATATACAAAAGTTTATATTAGCATAATAGCATGCATGAAGTACGAACCAAATCCAATTCGATGATTCTGGCGTGACAAAATCCTCGTTAGAACTGAACAAACCGCCAAACTCATCTCTTTACCTCGATGGAAACAACTGTCAAATTCTTTATTAAAATATGATTTGTCTTAAATTCCCCAAAAACGGTTTGATTTAATATGTTTGAATTTTGTTGTAATGCTGTATTTAGTTGCGTCAGTTTTTGAAGATCGTAAAACAAAACTGAATCCGTATTGAAAAAAAAAGAGAGAATACACCGAACAAAATAATATTAATGTTCAAAAAAAAAAACCCGAACAACGACAACAAAAAACACGAAAAACAAATTATAACAATATTGTGTGCGTAAAATCAAATAATTCTTACATACGTCTGAAAAATCGTTTCTTGCATAATAAGTTGAGAAAGTTCTAAAACCACATAAAAACTAGTTTTCATTTCAAATACACTCTTAAATTTGACATACATATTATTGAACCAGAAAATCACCACTAGTGTTTTGATTAATAGTAGTGGATTTTGGAGAATAATATCTTTATTAATAGTTCGAAGATGAAATGATTACAAAAGATGAATTAACCAAGAATATGAGGTCGGTTGCTTCGAGCTCTTAATCATTTTCTCCTTCGGTGAATATTTTCATATTTGCGATATGAAAATATCCCTTATTCTCCGAAGAATATGAAATTCTCATTTATCCTTAAATATTCCTTTGAGCTGATCTGACTCTTCGAAAGTTTTGAGATTATTTTTGAGGTTTTCTTTTTTAGCGCTACGTCGGCGCAGCTTTCTTGGTCTTGATGGGCTTACGTCATTGCTAGCTAAAGCCTTTTAGGAAATGTGCTCATTTTCCCTCTAACAATAAGCCCCCCAGTTCGGCGAGACTGATTGTAAATCAGCTCGGCGGACTTCATGAAGTTAAGTGGATTTGATCTCGCAATAAGCATTAGCTCGTCAAGAGCGTTTCTCCGTGATGGCCAGCTCGACCCGTCTTAAGTGGATTCGACACATGGCGCTTCCCTTAAATAAATTTATTTAAATACATGACCCATTAGAGTTTTACTTTAAGCGGGAAAGCCAAAGATTTTCCAGACGGTGAGATTGTGCGAATCTCGACACACGTCCTTTAAGGGAACTGTTGATATTTCTTTTGATTTTATTATCGAGAATTTATCTCTTCATCTTCCTGCTCCCAAGGGTTTTACCTTCGTCAGATTGCTTTGCAAAAATCATTTCTTTTTCTTCTCTGCTTGCCGATCTTCCTTTTGCTTCCTTCTGATTTCTCCAGAAATTTCTGTTTTCTCTTTCTATTTTTTTTTTCAAAAGTCGGTGGGATCGCATAGTTCTTCCTTTGACGATGATAATGTCTCTCTCGCCGAGCGCGCTAGGTGGGCGTGGATCAGCCCAGTTCCTTCTTCTCCCTTGATTTATGAGGGGTCTTCAGGTTATCGAGATGCGATTTTGCAAGATAACTCCGATATAGATTCTGAGATGGAATCATAGGGTTCCGAGCCGGCGGGCCGGATTGAGGGTCTCCCGCAGAAGATAATGATGTCGAAGCATAAAACTGGCATCAAGGACGGGAGGACCTGGATGACCGCAGACAGGCTTCAGGAGCTTTAGTCGAGGTGCAGCTTTCTTGAGGGAGTCGAGCTTTCACTTCCTCAAGTTCACGAGAGA